AATCTATAATTCATCTTCGACATCTGTTCGTCTTTGACTGAACTGAAATGTACAATATATACTTATATGTATGTATGAACTGATTATATATACAAACATATGTAGTTCATATTCACCATCTGTTGTTGCGAGATTTGGCATTTGAAATACGCAGTCTTTCGCTTTTATCTCTTTTGGATCTTTCGCCCTCAATATCGATTTAAATCGAAATTGTAAAAATCGAAGTTTAATTGAATTATTGCTACAATTTTTGGCAATTTTACCGTGGAACTGCAATTAAAATTACAGGAACGGTGGCAATTGTTTTAAATTGATGTAGACATAACGAAATTACAAATAATAATTTGTTCGTATTTTGAAGTCATTAAACCTTAAACTTTAATGCTCAATCTCACTTTATCGATTTAATAAATAACCTATATATAAAATAGTAAATCATTCAGGGAGAAACATTGTTGTATTTAAAGCCCAAATTCAGCATGCTATTATATTCTGTGTGTATGTAGTACTCGGTTAAAACTAATATATGTATACGCTTTTAGAAAAGAGCAAGTGTCTGAAATATTACTCCAGTCTGCAAACTTAGACAGTACGTGACTGCAGCCAGCTGAAAAAAAAAAAAAAAGAAATGCGCGTTGTTGAAAATAGTATTGCAATAAAATCCAAGCGTAGACATGCAGACCCAGCAATGCTCTATAAGTTCCCAATTCAATGATGGATTTGCATATTTTAGACTCCCCCCAGTTCCCTCATTCGCTTTAAATGAAAATTCTTGAAATTATAATTTAACTATTTACTCAAAAGACAAAATTTTGGATTGTTGCAGAAGGTAATATACATTGTTGATATCACAATAAATTATTGATCTTAATTATACTTATTATAGTGTAATGCAGTCGAAAATGAACACTTCAGTTATACCTAGCTATAAGCTGCAATAAAAATAATCAGTTTTCGTTGATTTATATAATATTATTTGTATGTGGTAAAGAAATGCAAGGAATACTAATAGTCTGGGGACCAGTCGGAAGTGAGGAAACTATTTAGGATATGATTGATATTTCCTTGATGCGCGAATCTCGCCTTGTTCTAGGCGGAGGTATGGGGGCAGGGCCCTGTGTATTGACGCTGGGGCTGTCATCGACCTTATCGATGCAACCGTTGGATAAATCAGGCTTAAAGACTCTGCTTTGGGATAGGTTAACTAAGGAGGCAGCTTTTTGCTTCTGGCAGAACTTCTTCAGGAAAATGTCCTTCCACTCGCTTAGCTTGGCAGGCTTCAGGTAGACGTATACGCCGCATATTACGAATGCCGCGATCATCAATAGCAAAATAAATCCTATCAAGAACATAACCGAAGTGAAGTGGCCGTCAGTGGACTCCACTTGATCAGTCTTGGCAGGCGTTGCAGTTGTAGTGGTAACACGATATGTGGGCCGGGCAGGACGTATGGGTAGACGAGCATCCGGGGTCAAGGCGATATCCGAACATGCCCGAAACTCCTCCTGGGGACCACAGCCAACGGCACCCACACCATCCTCACACATGCCCCAATTGTTTCCGGCTACGTAGCGCCACTGGAGCACACACTGGTTGCATAAGAGATCTGCAATCAATAAATCGACCGTAATGAGGAAACTGTGGACACGAAATTCAGCGATAGAAATACTCGAAGCATTTACCTGGCAATCGTGCTTTGATTTCATAAATGCGACTACCATTACGAGGATAGAATCGGGTGTCTAAGTCACTCGGACTACGCTGCGATGGCGAGCCACTTATTATAGGCAGCACGTTTTCGTCAAGGCAAAGCTGCTTGGCACTCGGCTTTGGACACAATCGAAACTCGAAGTAGCTGCAAGCCAAAATAAAATCAAAACAAAACAAAGCATATATACATACATTCATTGGCAAGTCCCCTTACCCCATGTGACTGGCGGTCAGTTCCACTCGTATTGTCATTTCGGAGCCCGGCAAATAGCTGCGAACGATAACGCCCTGGCCCCATTGGCCCCCATTTTCATGTGGGCGTGGCTCTGGCATATCCCAGGCGTCGCCACATTCCCCACATTTTCCCCCGTTGCGCTTCCACTGGCGCGTAAAGCCCCCGCAGTAGAGCTCGTGATCATTGTAGTCCGGCGGAGTCTGAAATCCATAGCGCCAGGCCGAAGCCCTACTGGGAGGCTCTATAAGCCTGCCATGAGCATCGCAGAGCTGAGCCAAACCAAAGAGAGCTAAGCAGAAAATGGGAAACAAATAACAGAAATGTGAACTGGACTTTAGGGGGCCATTCCTATGTCGTCCAGGCATCAGCTGAAAATACAAAACTCCCAGAATGATTCAACTTGACTTGGACAGATGAACTGAATTAGTTCTAAAGCAGCTTTATTATGATAAAAAACAATTTTAATTATATTTTGTCTTTTCTGACTTTATAAACTATTTATTTTTCTGATCCGGAACGACAGCTGGCTTGTCCTTCCGTTCATTTGTCTGATTTTCTGTCGATTCTTCTGTCCGTTCGTTCAACTGCTCGACAGTTAATTTGTCCATTCGCTCATCGATCAGTCTGTCTGTCAGTTCGTCTGTCCGTATGTTCATCCGTCCCTTTGTCTGTTCGTATGAATTATTGCCTCTGGTGCGGCACCTATAACAGTTAGATATGTAGGTGATTTCTGACATTCGCAATCAGATTTAGATAATCGATTAGTAG